ACTGTAAGTTTATTTCCTTGATTACCAGAGAATTCAATTGCATCAAAGTTCCATAAATAACGTGAAGTGTTATCATTACCTGCTTTGTTGAATCCTTTTTGAAATGTGTTGAAATACTTACTACAAAATGATGACTTCAAATAAGTACCCTATTGTTTCTTGCGTGCAAGCAGCTATGAGTTATGAAATATTGCCAACAGCTCTGATGCTTAACTGATGACTCCATCGGTTGATGAAAAGCTTGTACTAATCTTTACCCGGTGTATCGTTAGAAAACGGATAAAATTGACCTAGGTGTTCTATATAGTTGAAACCCAAAGTGATAACGTCATTTAAGCTCTACCAAAACCCCAATCGGATAATTTAATGAGTGTATCTACCAGAGTTGATTAAAAATGTCGCGGTAATCTTGTGTTTGAACCACTTCCTATTGTTTCCCCTACGCCGTTAACACGCCTATAAAGAGCTGCCACTGGTATGCTGAATGATTGAGTACTGGTATGCTGAATGATTGAGTACTGGTATGCTGAATGATTGAGTACTGGTATGCTGAATGATTGAGTACTGGTATGCTGAATGATTGAGTACTGGTATGCTGAATGATTGAGTACTGGTATGCTGAATGATTGAGTACTGGTATGTTGAATGATTGAGTACTGGTATGTTGAATGATTGAGTACTGGTATGTTGAATGATTGAGTACTGGTATGCTGAATGATTGAGTACTGGTATGTTGAATGATTGAGTACTGGTATGCTGAATGATTGAGTACTGGTATGTTGAATGATTGAGTACTGGTATGCTGAATGATTGAGTACTGGTATGTTGAATGATTGAGTACTGGTATGCTGAATGATTGAGTACTGGTATGCTGAATGATTGAGTACTGGTATGCTGAATGATTGAGTACTGGTATGTTGAATGATTGAGTACTGGTATGTTGAATGATTGAGTACTGGTATGTTGAATGATTGAGTACTGGTATGTTGAATGATTGAGTACTGGTATGTTGAATGATTGAGTACTGGTATGCTGAATGATTGAGTACTGGTATGTTGAATGATTGAGTACTGGTATGTTGAATGATTGAGTACTGGTATGTTGAATGATTGAGTACTGGTATGTTGAATGATTGAGTACTGGTATGCTGAATGATTGAGTACTGGTATGTTGAATGATTGAGTACTGGTATGCTGAATGATTGAGTACTGGTATGCTGAATGATTGAGTACTGGTATGTTGAATGATTGAGTACTGGTATGCTGAATGATTGAGTACTGGTATGTTGAATGATTGAGTACTGGTATGTTGAATGATTGAGTACTGGTATGTTGAATGATTGAGTACTGGTATGTTGAATGATTGAGTACTGGTATGTTGAATGATTGAGTACTGGTATGCTGAATGATTGAGTACTGGTATGTTGAATGATTGAGTACTGGTATGCTGAATGATTGAGTACTGGTATGCTGAATGATTGAGTACTGGTATGGTGAATGATTGAGTACTGGTATGCTGAATGATTGAGTACTGGTATGCTGAATGATTGAGTACTGGTATGGTGAATGATTGAGTACTGGTATGCTGAATGATTGAGTACTGGTATGCTGAATGATTGAGTACTGGTATGCTGAATGATTGAGTACTGGTATGCTGAATGATTGAGTACTGGTATGTTGAATGATTGAGTACTGGTATGCTGAATGATTGAGTACTGGTATGTTGAATGATTGAGTACTGGTATGCTGAATGATTGAGTACTGGTATGCTGAATGATTGAGTACTAGTATGCTGAATGAGTAGCTTTGCTGAGTAAAAATCTGCCACTTTTTTTTTTTGCCACTGCAAGTGTGACTTTGTCTTCGGTGTGTGTGTGTGTGTTTTTTGTTTGTTTACCGAATAATTGGCCTATTTCATTCAACCGCATAGTTCACCGTTTCCGTTTTTAACTCATAACGTTTTACCAGAAATAGCAAATTTAATTTTGATTAAAAGATTCTTGACCGGCCTAAAAACAACGTTATACAAGGATACATTTTAAGTTTAATGCCAGAAAATTTCATTTTACGAGAGTTTTAGGCCCATTTTTCAAACAAAACAAAAAAAACTTAATACGCGATTGAAAATTTTATCACTTATATAAATAAAACTATTTACTTTGTATTAAAATTTTATATCATCTTAATCGGAATAAGTTTCTCCACAACGTGATTAAAATATGGGGTGGATTAGGGTAATATAAGCATCTTGGTGATATGAGCATACATAAAGATTTCATAGATGTAAGAAGTGAAGTTAAAGTTGTTTTGTGTTTTTTGAATTGTCTTTATGTGGTGAATACAGGAATCAGTACAATTAGCGTAAATTTATGTGTAGTAATTAGCGGCTAATTAAGACACTGTTAAATTTTTTGCGTTGTTAAAATAATATCGTTACGCATGAATAAATCTGTGGCGCGAAATTTTGGTGCTAAAATTGAAATTAATTTTTTCATAAAGAAAATATGTTAGTTAAAAATCCAATCCATTTTTGTTTGAAAAACAGTACGTAGAAACATTTAGTTTTGACTTCATTTAAAGATGCCATTTATGTGTAACATGAGCATGCCCAGTATTTTTCATTGAAATTACCTAGTTTAAAGTCCTAAAATAGAAGTGGTTTTAGTTGCTTTTTAAATAAAATGAAAACATAGTAAAAAATTTTAATATCTTAACAATACTAAACATTTTTCTGTAATTATAATTCAATTTTATTAACCTTTAAACAAAAAAAAAATTGAATTTTTTTTTGTTTAAAGGTTAATAAAATTGAAAAAATAACTAATTTTTTTTTTCGGAAAACATAACAGTAGTGTTTCAATAAAAAGTGGCTTAAAATTTGATCTTTTAATAATAAGTTATTTTAATAAAGAATTATAATATTCCAAAATTGGCATTTTTTTACTTAATGTTATTTTTTTGAGCTAATTTAAAGTGCTCATATTACAAAGTAGTCTGGGTAATAACTATATTACCCTAATCTACCCTATTTGCAAAATTTTTATTCAATAAAAAAATCGGAGCAAAAGAATAAACATTGTCATAACAACTTCACTCTTCATTTCATTCTACCTGCTTTTACTCAAATATTTTAAATGAAGTTTTAAATTTTTAAATAAACTTTCATCTAGTTTCAGATATTGAAAAACAATTTTCTTAATATTTAAAGAGGTGGTATCTTCTTTTTTTATTGTTGCTTCTAACTCTTATTAACGGTTTTAACGCAAAACATTGCTATGAAATAAATATAAACATACAAAATTATAGATATTAAAACATGACTAAAAGTTTAGTAAAATTCGAATAACGAAAAAACGAAAAACTCATATCCCCCTTGCATCCGCAATATAAGATGTAAAAAAAATTTAAAAGACTATTATATTAAAAAAATCAATCAAGTTTGTATATAAAGAACAATTGCATCCAAAAGATATATGATAAGAAAAAATAAAATAAAAAAACACGTGTCACACCTGATGATTAACATATTGGACTTAAAAAGATTCGTAAACGCATGCTTCTAAAAATGACAATACAAAACAAATAAATAAATTATTCCTTGCATTCCTTTGACAAGTTATATTAAAAAACATATCTATTGTTAATGAAGTTAAAAAAGTGAACAATGTAGAATGAAAATAAAATGAGTTTGTTAAATATGAAGAAAAAAAAATGAACAACAAACAGTTAATAAAACTCTTGTTGCAGGTGCATGAGATTAAGATTATCTTTAAAAATTCTCAAAAAATTAATCAACAATATTTTAAAAAAACTTACATAAAACTTGTATTAATGGTTTCCTTATTAGATAAGTAACGAAAATAAATTTTAAAACGAGTTTTTTTTTTCCTAGAGAATACGTTACATTCCGTTGAAATAATAAAACTACACCTTTTTACGTTTAAGTTAGCCATTATTTACTTTAATTTGGCCAACTTAACCTACTACTACTATTTTCACTTTAACTTGGCATTTTTTATTTTTAGTTTGGCAATTTTCACTTTAATTTGTTAAGTGAAAATTGTCAAAGTAAAAAGTGAAAGTTGGCAAACTTAAACGCAAAAAGGTCTAAAATTTTACATTAATGAAGGATTTAACATCTCTTAAAAACCCTGTCAAATTTATCAATATCATGTAAAATAAGGTTTATTTTATTTGAACATGCTTTAAACAAAAGACATGTTCGTGCAAAAAACCCTCACTTCTTTCATTCTGGCTGAGTTGTTGAGACATCAGTAAAATTTCCAAATTTTTCAACCAATAAATAAAGGGCTTTTCTGGTTGAAAAAATTGGAAAATTTTATTTTATTTATAATGTAAATAAAATAAAATTTTCCAATTTTATTTTATTTATATTATACTTTATTATTAAAGTTTAGTAAAAAAAAAGAAAAATTCATACTGTAGATAATATTTATGTTTTTTCATAATAATCATTTACAATACTTAAATTTTGTTTAAAAATATAGAAATGCACATACCCAAACAAACAAATGCATAGACATGCAGACGCTCACGCGCACACACACGTATATATGTCTATATATATATATATATATATATATATATATATATATATATATATATATATATATATATATATATATATATATATATATATATATATATATATATATATATATATATATACATATATTTATATATATATATATATATATATATATATATATATATATATATATATATATATATATATATATATATATATATATATATTTATATATATATATATATATATATATATATATATATATATTAACATAGACAATTACACATTCGCACACACACACATATATATAATCATATAATACATACTATTATAAATATCCAATAGTTTAATATTTTTTATTATTATAAATATGCGTGTATGTGTCTGTAAATATTCTTAATAACTGTTAGTGTTAGTAATTAAAAGTATAATTAACTTTATTAACTAAAAAATTTTTTAGATTACACTTTTCTTTATTTTAAGTCAAGCCTGTTTCTGCAACCTGCGTTTCTTCAGCCCATGAAATATTTTTATGCTCTATCCTCTTCCCTTTTAGAAAACATTGAAATATCCTTAAATCGTGAAGGTGAGCTTGAAATGATTTGTTGATGTAACAGTTAACCAACGCATTTAATACCGCTGACAATTTTGCAAATAATGCACAAAATGTAAATATAATACTTGGGATTTTTACTTTGAAAATTGAAAGTAAACTGACCACAGAATAAGGGGTCCAAACAACAAAGTAAGCAATAGCAGAACACAACAATACTTTTAAATAAGCTTTTTCTAATATTTCAATTTGTTCGTTTGGACGATTTTCTCTAAACCTGCGGTGTTCATCCACAGTTTGATGTTTTACTCTAAGCGCCCAAATCAACAAAGTTGTTGGCAGTTTATAACAAAATATGAATGCAAACATTAGATAAGAAAATGTATTTGATTTGGTTAAATTCCAATCTAAAGAACATCGCTTTTTATCTAAATCTTCTTCATATTTTGACCATCCAAGTAAAGGAAACGACGCCCAAAGTATTCCATAGAAGTAACAACAACAAAGTGATGCCATTTTGTACTTAACTTTGTCACAGTTTTCAAAGTAAAACATAGGACGTTTCAATGCAACAACCCTTATAGCCGATATCATAACAATTTGCATAATATTTGAAACAGAAATAGAGTATGTTAAAAAAGAAGCTCCGACACTTACATAGCTATTTTTTAATGACGTCACTTTGTGCAACACGCAAACTTCAGAAACAAGCCCAACTACGGTGTGTACTATGTCCGATATTGAAATGCTCAAAATAAATAGGTGCGGTATTTCAATTGCTTTTATTTTGCGGATGATTACGTAGCATATGATCAAGTTTAAAGACATTGATAAAGTGATAAGAACAACAATATAAGTTGTGTATAAAGCTACCAAAACCATGATTTATTATCTAAATCAACAGAAAAATGTGATAATCAAATACATTTTAATATTAGTAATTTGTTTAGTTAATTGTACAGTTATTTATATTACAATAATAAACTTATTGAAAATAGATAAAATTAACAAAAAAAGTAGTTTTTTTTGTTGTTTTTTTGTTAATTATAGCTTTTTAAAGTATTGATAAAATAACTCGATCGTAAATAAAGTCAATTAGTTTTATAAAAAATTTTGCAATTAAAAATATTAAAATTATTTCTTAAAAATAATATACTTAAACCATGCGTAAACAAAATTTGTGTTATTTTTTTAGTTAGTTTAATCAAGATAAAAGTTTTCTTTTAAAGTTTACAATTAATGACTTTTTATTTGAGCTTTTTAATTTATTGCCAACAAATAAGTTTTTTTAAAACCATTGGAAATGTAAAAAAATTACCGCCTTTTTATTAGCAGATTGACTTGTTTTGAGTTTTTTTTCCTTTTTTCTTTTTGTAGTTTTCATTTGTTTAACGCTTGAAAGATTTTTAAAACTTCTATGCGATTGTATTTGCTAATAAGAGAATTTGTAATCTATGGTTTTCATTTTATTTCGCTCGTAAATAAACGAGTATGCTTACTATTTGTTAACTATTTCTAATTTTTTTTTTTTTCATGTTTTGTTACGCTAAAATCAATTGATTTGATCTTCCATCTTGATAAATCCAAACTTTTTGATGTTCCGTCCTATCTAAAGATTCGATTGTCTAATTCTTTTTTATCGTATCGTTGGATATTTCATAACTTTCAGTAAAGTCAAAAAAGTAAAAAATTAACTAAAAGAAGATAGAATAAAATCTTGTCGCTACTATAGCAACTCCAACAATAGATAATATCTAGGGTAACTACATTTAAGCTCATGGCCTATAAGCTTATGAGTCATAAAACAAAGTCATCCACTTCCCAAGTCTGTTTTTAATCCCAAAAAGATGTATATTAAATTGTTAAAATTTTAAGAATAACAAAGACTGTTTTCATTATTTGAATCAGAAAGTTCTATTATTTCAATTTTTTTTAAAACATTTTTCTCACATTTGGCAGGATTTCTTGTATCATGAGCTTCCAACAACGATGATAAACATAGCCCTATTAGAAATGGTTTTTTCTTGAAATATAACATCTGTTGATTATAATTTTTTTAAATGTTATTTTATGTAAAAAATATGTTTATGTTCCTAAAGTCAAAAACTGTAAACAAACAGAAAAAAAAAAAATTATTGAAATAAGTTTTAATTATTGTTTTTTTTGGGGGCGGATCCAACATTTTTTGTTACTTGAGATAATTAACTTCATAAAACAAACTTCAAACATTTGCATGTTTATACTTATGTCAAATAAGAATGCTTTGCAAAAAATTGCGTGATTGGAACCTGGGAACAAAAAACTCTAAAGTTCCACAACTACCCATTACGTGAGAGCAACAAATTGACAAAATATTTCTTTTACTATTCTTAACTAAGTTTATTTTCATCAATAAACTTTAAATTTCATAGTATAATTTCTCAGCGTTCAAAAATTATGACGATATCAAATTTAATCCTCCTCAATTTGAGAAGGCTACAAATTTTATATGGTCATTACTTTTGAATGTTAAAAGATTGTTTCAAATCAAATTTAAAATTTATCGATGAACATTAGTTAAAAAAGTAAAAAAAATATATTTTTGTCAACTTGTTGCTCTCATGTTTGGGGCAGTAGTAACCAAAATTTTAGGTGTTTTTTGTTCCCAGGCACCAAGCATCCCAATTTTTTGCAAAGCATCTTTATTTGACCAAGTATAAATATATAAATTTTTGGTGTTTGCTTTATATTCGGTCACCGCTTTATTTATAGTCTTCTTTACTACTTTTCAAGCAGACCAATGTTTAGCTTGAATTGCCTCATGTGTTAAGCAATCAGTTGAAACGTGTTTACCCTAGATTTTTTTTTTCTGTACTAGTTTTAAATACTTCTATTGTAACCCATAATGGTTGATTTTTATAAAACGGTGAAGTTATAGTCAGAATGTGCTTATCGACTGCTTTTTTGTATTTTTTTTAACTAGAAACTGTTAATTTTATTGCGCAGAACCTCTATTAAAAGTTGTTGCCCAATGGATAATTGATATGCAGATTAATAAGTAGTTGTAATTGGCTTTACTCAAAATAAATCGTTTTTCTTCGTTGTAATAGTTGTTGCGTTGTTCCCGGTTGAAGCAAAGAGTCCATATATTATGCAATAAACTTGCCCTTTGGATGTGTCGCTTAGATGATCTACTCAAGTAATTTCTATTAAATGGCCCGCTTGAAGGATTAACCCTAGAGTGATGATTTGTAGAAAATGTAACAAGGTGGTTAAGACGACACTCAAGACAATTTTTAAATTTGATCTTGGTTGGGTGCTTGTGGGTGTTGAGAGTTAATAACGAAATACATAACATTATGATTGGTAAGAGTGCGTTCATGTGCAACGTATTAGAACTCGTGCGTTAGTTAGAAAGATACTGTATTGAGTTATGGTTGTTCATATAATACTGGTTGTAAATATGTATGTTATTATAATAAATCTTTAATACAAATAAAATAAGAGTTAGTAGTTATATATTTAAAATAGTGAACACAACAGTTGGTGACGAAGATCAAAATTTGGCGAAAATAATTAATAATTTACCTGGAGTAGAACAGTTTATTATAAATCAAAATGACGCAACTAATTTAGACAAACAGTGGGAAACATTGAAGATTTTGAACATTTGAAGATTTTGAATTATATCTAGTTGCAACTGGAATCACGCAAGACGCTCAAAAAAAGGCGTTACTTCAGCATCTAGCAGGAAAGGATGTAAAAGAAATCTATAAAACCCTGAAATGAACTGACACTGATCAATACAAGGTAATGTGTGATAAACTGGATCAATATTTCAGTCCAATAAAGAATATAACATACGAACGTTACGTCTTTACGAGAATCAAACAAAATGAAGAGGAAAGTACAGCGAGTTTCATTACGCAATTAAAAAAACAAGCAGAGTAATGTGCCTTTCCAAATGTTACAGAAGCAGTGAAAGATCGGTTCATATCATCGTGTTATTCTTTAAAATTAAAACAAAAACTCCTTAAAGATAGCGAAATAAATCTCGAGATATGTATTGAAATTGATTGAAATATGGAAGTGTTAAAACAAGAGTCAAAAGAAATGTCTTATAAAAAATCAAATGAATGCTTATCGAAAATCGACTTAGTAGATCATTTAGAAAAACAAATCTTTTTCAGAAGAAGAAAACAAACGATAGACTTTAAATCGAGACCTAGTCGAAATATTAATATAGACAAAAAAGAAAATAACTTGTTATGTTTTCGATGTGGGGAGAAGTACTTTGTTGGACACCAAAATGATTGCAAAGCTATTGCAAAAATGTGTTTCAAATGTCAAAAGAAAAATTATTTAGCTATTTGTTGCCGAAATACTCTACAACCATTGTATAGGAGAAACCGACAAGTTAATTAAATAAATAATAAAGCTAAAAGTGAACACAGATCAGAAAATGAATCAGAAGAGACGCTTGCCCTGACATTTTATTAATTAAATGTAATTGTTTTATTAGATTGTCTTTTTCGTGTTGTAATTCAACACGAAAAAGACAATCTAATAAAACAAAATCAATAAATGTAATAGTGGAAAATGTCACGATAAAAATAATTATGGCTCAGGTTCCAGTGTGAACTTAATTGATAAAAATATGTTTGAAAGAATTAGAAACAACAATCCTAATTTAATAATCAAGAAATCATCAACAATCATATTTCCATATGCTTCGAAGCCTTTAAAATTAATAGGTTGTTTCAAAGCTGGAATTGAAGCTAAAAACAAAATAACTACTAACAATATATATATCGTAGATAAAAATAATGTTGGAAATATAATGGGAATTATAACTGCTAAGGAATTGAACATTTTGAAAAATGCAGAAAGTGTAAAGTTTGTGATTAATACAGACTATTATATGAATTCAATGGATAATAAGTCAAATGAGGCTGTACAGCATTCTAACGTGTATAAGAACATTGATGATAAAATCAAACTTCCAACAAATCAAAATATTAATAGTTTTGAGCATATTGATTCAAATTGTAAAGTCACTTTAAAATTCTGAAGTAATTTGACAAACTTAATTGCAAAATACGAAGACATATTCGAAGAACATGGTAAATTAAAAAACTTTCAATGCAAACTTTATGTAGACAAAAACATACAAACAGTTGCGCAAAATTTCCGTCGTTATCCTTATCACCTTCGAAAAGGCATTCGAGCAGAGTTAAAGCGACTTCAAGAAGCAAACATTATTGAAAAAGTTGAAGGACCACAAGAATGGATAAGTAATTTTGTAATTGTACCAAAAGCAAATAAGACAGTAAGGTTATGTCTTGACGCTAGAACCATAAACAAAGCAATTAAACGTGAAAGATACAGAATACCTACATTAGATTCGGTAATAGATGAAATGTATGGTTCAAAAATATTTGCCAAACTTGACATGAAGGAAGTCTGTATTCAACTAGAGTTAGATATCAAATCAAGAAAATTACAAATGTTCAAACGGATGAGGGAGTCTACCGACACAAAAGATTAGTGTATGGGATCAACAATTCGTTCGAAATTTTCCAAAAAACTATGGAGCAAAGCTATGGTAGAATAGAGGGAGTAAAATTTATCAGTGACGATTTTATAATATACGCATCAGATGAACAAAACTTATTAAGAAAATTAAAACTTTTGTTCATCAAAACAAGGACATTCGGTCTGTAGTTAAATAAAAAAAAGTGTACTTTTACTCAAGAGAAAATAAAATTTTTTGGTTTTGAAATATCTAAAAATGGTAATAATCTTGATCCAAACAAAGTAGAAGCTATCAAGAATGCAAGATCACCAACAACGGTCAGTGAGCTTCGAAGTTTTCTTGGTTTATGCACAGATGTATCAAAATTTATTAAAAATTTTAGTAAAAAAAACAACAGTACTACGGGAACTATTAAAGAAAAATCCAAATTTAAGTGGGAAAAAAAACATAATGACGTTTTCAACATGCTTAACGTAAATTATCAAGTGATTCCGTTTTGGTTTTTTATAATCCGCGCAAAGAAGTACAGTTAATTACTGAAGCTAGTAATCATGCTATAGGTAGAATATTTTTACAAAAAGAATGAACATAGATCAAACCAATCTGCTACATAAGTAGATCATTAACCGCAGCCGAGTTAAAATATAGTATTACAGAAAAGGAAGCTCTTGCCTTGGTATGGGCTATTGAAAAGTTACATTTGTATTTATATGGAAAAAAATTTAAGGTCATAGTGGACCACAAACCTCTCAAGTTCATTTTTTCTTCTGGTTCTAAATTAAATGCACGTATTGAAAGATGGCAAATCAAATTACAAGCATATGATTTCGATGTAATATATAAGAAAGGAGAAGAGAACATTGTAGATTATATCCCTAGAAATTGTACTCCAAAGGAAAGTATGTCAGATGAAAATGAAGTTGCAGCTTATGTAAGTTTTTTAGTGACAAAAATGACACCCAAATCAGTATCACTCGAAGATATAAAAACGGAAACAGCAACAAACATCAGTTTACAGTAAAAAGAATGTTTTTGTCGGGTAAATTGCATGAAAATCCAATAGTTGAACCGTATCTTAAATTCTTAAATTTCAAAATGAGTTAACTGATTACAAAGGAATCATACAAGGAGAAAAAATACAATGGAGAAAAAATTGCTTTACCAAAGACGCTTCAAAAAAGAGCTTTACAAATTGGACATGAAGGACATTTAAGTGTTAAAAAATGCAAAGGCTTATTGCGACAAAATGTTTACTGGTTCACTATGAATACTAATATAGAAGCATATGTTGAAAAGTGTTTGGGATGGAAACTCACGTGTTTCAAATCCTGAACCAATAAAAATGTCGAATTTACCAGAACATATTTGGGATGAGTTAGCAATGGATTTTTTCGGACCATTACCGTCAGGAGAGTATTTATTTGTAATAGAAGATTTATATTCAAGATACCCATTTGTTGATATAATGAAAATCACAACAGCTTTAAACGTCATAAGTAAACTAGAAAGATTATTTGCTATATATGGTTATCCTAATAAAATTAGAAGTGATAACGGACCACCGTTTCAAAGTGAAGAATTAAAACTATACTTTAAAAATGTTGATATAAAGCACATTAAATTAACGCCTCGATATCCGCAAGCGAAAGGAATCATCGAAAAAATTTATGCAAGTTATAGGAAAAACAATTAAAACAACTCATTTTATGGGGAAAAATTGGAGAGAGGAACTTCAAAGCATACTTCGAAATTATAGATGTACCTCATGCTACAACTGGCAAACCACCAGCTACGTTATTATTCAATAGAAATATCAAAAATAAATTTCCTTCAATAATAATTTAAAAATCAACCTATGACAAAGAAGTGAGAGAACGTCAAGATAAAAAGTATAAGAAAGTACAAGAATATTTTGATATGAAACATCATGCAAAAGAAGAGAGATGACATTAAAGTAGGAGATCAGGTTCTTGTTAAATGCCATAAATCGGGAGGAAAATTATACTCAAAATATTTAAACAAGAAATATATAGTTAAAGAAAGAAAGCTAAATTTAATCATTGTAGTCGATCAAGAAGGAAACGAGTTGGCGCGTAATATATAATTTATAAAAAAAACTCTTAAAACCTGAAGCTGAAAGTATACAACGTGAAACACCAGCAAATGATAACGAAAGAAAAATAGTTAAAAGAAAATCATATCCAAAGCGAATTAATAGACCTATAAAGTTTTACTATTAAACATTTTTAAACATGATATATTTATTTGAGTAATAATAGAATCTTTCTCAAATAGGGAGAACTGTTGAGAGTTGGTAATGAAATACATAACATTATGATTGGTAAGAGTGCGTTCATGTGAAACGCATAAGAACTCGTGCGTTAGTTAGAAAGATATTGTAGTAAGTTATGGTTGTTTATATAATATTAGTTGTAAATATGTATGTTATTATAATAAATCTTTAATACAAATAAAATAAAAGTTAGTAGTTATATATTTAAAATAGTGAACACAACAGTGGGCTACATGGGCAATAAACGCAATAGTACTTTCTTCAATGAGTCGGTAATAAATGTCTTTAAAGTTAAAATCAGTTTTTGGTGCTGATGATGGCACACAAGCAAAATTATTATTAAAGTCATGAGAACTATAAATAAATTTGATAAGAAACAAATCCTTTCCAATTTTGATCACACACCATATTTTTTCATATTCAGACGAGTTAAGTAGAGCAATATTTATCTCTTCAGCTACAATGCTATCTATAATTCAATGGAAACTTTACCACTTCTGTCATATATATCTCCACGATGCAGTTGAAAACCAGCTATTGATTAACCAGAATTGCTTGTGAACCAGGTTTCCATTAAGCAAATGATGTGGGGTAACAGATATGGATCTTGAATTTTAACTAGCCTGGCAACAAGTTTATTAAGTTTATCTTTATTTAGTAAGCATGGGTTGTTGACCCAGTAATGAAGCAAGACAGGAAAGTTGGTGGATCTTAATGGATCTTAATGGATCTTTAAGCAAAATTTTGTCATTTTAATGCCTATGAGGGAGTTTAACGCAATAGGTTTTGGCATTTTTATCCCGCAAAATTCAATATCTAATTTGCACCATTTTTGAATATACTTGGACAAATTGAAAACATTAATGTTGATATCAACGATAATAAGAACTCTAGTCAAGGGCGGATCCATTTGGAGGGGGGCGAACCCCTCTTCCTCCTTCCTTAAATATTTTGGAAATAATTTTTTTGTAAGTTTATATATTTAATAAAATATGTTGTTTGAAAATCGAAGTAAATAAGAGAGGCTGTTTAAAAATGATGAGAAGTTTCAAATTTGTGTAGTGCAAAAAAAAAAAAAGAAAAAAAAATTGGACTGTTGAGAAATCAATATGACGTAATTTTATAGCTACGCAGATTTAAAAAGTATAAGCTCCTCCTCCCCCATTCTTCTTTCTTGCATGGTCTGGATCCACCGAATTTTAAAAACCTAAAAATTGCCCTACCCTTACTAGAGGATCTGGATCCGTCCCTGTCTCCAATATAAAATCTTATACAAAGTCTCTTTAAAAAAATTATGCGATAAATAAAAATAAAATAACTAAGTTAAAAACAAAAGCAGTGAATTAAATCTAAAATCTGATATTGCGACCGGAATGAATCTCTAATTTTATTGAATGTTTGATACGTGCAGTCCTCTTCCTTTAGAACATATTAATACATTAGTATACATAATATGCGGACTGCGTCATAGACTTGTATTTATCTTTCTGTAATTTTTTCGCAATTCGCCATTTTAATAAGATAGACAGAAGTTGATTTAATTTTTCAAACTTCGCCTACAATGTACCACCATGCCTCAGATAATCATTTTTTACTGTGGTGTCAATAATTTCAAACCGTTGAATAATCATTAAAATCCATAGGATATTTATTGAAACCCTTGGAATAATAGTTGGGACCTTTGAGGTAACTATAAGGTAACTATAAACCATAGAGTAACTATAAAATACTTGAGGTGCAACATGACCCATAAGTTAAAAACCGTGATTTAATTATGGGACCTCATATAATTTAATTAGATTTCAATGGAATTCTATGAGTTAAGCATGTAATTCTATGGGTTATTCAAACTTTTATTGGTAATACTTACTAAGTTCCTGACGAATACTTGTTCTGAGTATTCCTACTAAGTTAGGATACTAACTTAGTAGGAATACTGAGTATTAGTACCCTAACTTAGTAGGAATACTCAGGCTTTTATTCGGCCATTAACCGTATCAGCAAATTTTAGTCAGAACTTAGTAGGAATAATAAGCATTCATTCGGTACTTATTTGGATTAGCCGGTTTTTATGAAAAATTAGTAGGAATTATTATTATTACATTCAGAAACTGGGTTTTAGTTAATAGTAGAACTTCAAATTTTTATTTGGTATTTAATTGAATTATTTATGTTTTAAAAATTACATGGTTAAATTAGTAAGGTAATTTTTCAAAAAATATGTTTTAAAGTAAAAATGTAAAAATAATAATTTTTAAATTTTTACTTAAGCCCAGATAAATTAAAAAAAAAAAAACAACCCTTTTTAATTTAACAACTATAGCAGTACATTATAGTGTAACTAATTTAACTTGTTGACTAAGCAATAAAGACGCTCATTTATAAAATAGTTTTGAAAACAACAAGTAAAGAAGTGTTAGTTTTTACGCCTTGAACATTTAAAAAAATACAATAAATAACGATGGTTAGTTATTTAGTAATTTTGAAGGTGTCAATTGAAAACCTCCACCCATATTAATCCATTGTCTTCATCTTTTATTCAACCATAACTGTAACTATAATGATATTTACAAAAATATTAATGTAAGTCGACAACCTATATTTTTTAACAATAAAAAAACTTTTTCAACTTACTATAATTTTAATGGTGAAAAGCTTTTCATTACCGTTTTTCTATTGCTATAATAATCGTTTTCAGTTAAAAATCTAAAAGCTGAAAACATAATTGTATGAAAATATGAAAAAAATATCTATAAAATATGAATAGTTATAAAATCGTGCTGTTTTCTAATGAGTGTTCAAAAGTATACGTATATCATAATTAGAGGTGCATTTATTGATACTATAGTATCATCAGTCACCTTTATTATCCCATTTGTCTTTTATTCAATCTGATTAATCTCTTACTCGACCATAACTATATCGATATATGATCGACCACAACTTTTATTTGATTCGATTAATCTTTTATTCGACCATTTCTATAACTATAATGAAATTTACAAAAATATTAATGTAATTCGACAACTTAATAACCAACATTGTTTTACAATAAAAAAGCTTATTCAACTTACCACAATTTTAAAATGATGAAAACATTTTCATTATCATTTTTCCATAGCTATGATAATTGTAATTTTTCAGGAAAAAATTCAAAAATTGAAATATAAGAGTATGAGAATATGAAAAAAATATCTAATAAAAAATAAGAATTGGACAAACTGTGTTTTTAATTTTCTAATAGTAAATTAAGGATAAAAGATTCAACGCCTGACCTTTACGCGATTTTAAATTTAAACGACAAAAGTTAATAAATTTACTTAGTAATATAATCAATGCACAATTTTCTATTGTAATTTGTAGTATCATTTGAGCGTTAAGTTCCCCTAAGAGTCATTTCGAAAAGTTGTACAATTTTTTTTTATAAAGAAGTTCAAAAGTTCATTTTTTTTTAATTAAATGTTAAGTTGACTCGATTTAAGTAATTTTTAAAAATAGTAAATTTTGTTTTGTTTTATCTTCTTTAAGAATTTTATTAATGTTCTTGAGAACTTTGTTCATTTTTTTTTTTAATTATAGAAAAAATAAAAATTACAAATAAAAATAATCTGTCTCATGACACATTATATTTCAAATTTGAAAAAAAAGTTGTCTGGGTATGAGAACAGAAAAAGAATGTTTGAGAAAGATCTAAAATTTGAAAAAATTAAAAAGTTTATGAGCATTTAAAAATATGTTACTTATAAAAAATCTGACAAAGGTCGTGAAGATTTCAACCCTTATTCTTCAACTATCTCTACGTGTATGTCCAATAAAGTTGGAGAACCTTCAACAATACTCAAAAATAATTGTATAACTCCATTGCAAGTTGAAGTAAAAATCAAATGATTTTTCAGAAGATTTTTTACAAGAAACACCTCATTTATTGGGTTATGAAAGGTGGCCAATTGTTCGATCTAACAACATTGTGGACCATTAAATTAAACTTTGTCCTTTTCAAATTCCCAAGGAAAAATACCCTGAAGATAGAAATGATAGAAATTTTTCTAACATTTTTTTACAATAGAAAACTTTCAAATGTAGAAACCTTTTGCCGTACATGGTTGGTTTATTTAGATTCTAAAAACTCCGTATTTGTTTTTGCTGTCGACTTTTTAATAATAATTCAAAGTCCAACTTGAAGACATAAATGAAGACATTTGACTGAAACATTTGGAATTCATGAAAATAGCGTCTCCCATATGAAATGTTATAAACAGTGGGGGGAAACTGAAATAAGATTAAAAACTGGAAAAACTAAAAATAATGAAAAATTTAAAATTATAGAAAAAGAAAGTTTGCGATGGCGAAATGTTCTTCTTCGGTTGATGAATCACTCTTTACCTAGTTGAAAACAAAATGGCTTTTCGTGGAAGTTCAGATAAATTGTTTACACCTTAAAACAGTAAATTCTTAGAACTAATACAGATGCTTGCAAAATTTGATCCTGTAATGCAAAAACCTTTAGCACTTGCAATAAAAGGTGGCACTTCAGATCATTACTGCGGGTAAAATATTTAAAATGAGTTAATAGATTATCTCAAAAGGTTAATGATGAAATAATAAATTGAGTCATAAAATGTACTTAAAATCTCTAATTGCAGAGGTCAAAGGTATGATTATGAATCAAATATGAAAGAAAAGATTAATGGGGTACAAAAAAGGATTTTAAATCTTAATTATATAGCATTATATGTTCCCTGCGGTAGCCGTAGTTTAAATTTGGTAATAAGTGAATCTGAACGGTCTTTAGTAAAATCTATAACTTTATTCGGTATTCTCCAGAGATTGTTCACTCTATTCTCAGCTTCAGTGAGCCGATGGAAAATTTTAATTGATCACGTTAAAATTTTGCATTTAAAGAAACTTTGTGACGCGCGGTGGGAAGCAAAAATAAGTAATGTCAAAGCCGTTCGTTATCAAGTTGGTAATATACATGATGCCTTAATAGCATTGCCAGAAATTGAAGGATGTGATCCTGTAACTGCACATGAAGCGATAACTCTAGCAGAGCAATTAAAAAATTTTAACTTTCTTTTGTCTTTAATTGTCCTGTATGACGTTCTTTTTCAAGTCAATATTGTTAGTAAAACTCTTCAAGAGAAAGACATGGACATCACTCAATGTGCAAAATTATTGAGAAGCTATTGTTCATTTTTAAAAATATACAGAAAATGTGGTTTTAAAGATGCAATTATTAAAGTAAAGGATTTGGCCTTAGAATTACAAGTGGAGCCTGTTTTTAAACCACTTAAATAAATTATACTAGTGAAACGCCATTTTGACGAACCAGTCCAAAGTGGGATTTATTCATTTTCTCCTGAAAAACAATTAGAAATCAATTTCTTCAATCTTCTTTTAGACACATCTCTAATTTTAATGAAAGAAAGATTTATACAGTTGAAGAATTATACAGAAATTTGGGTTTTCTTTAAATAAAGTCAATAAGTTGCAAAAAAGAGAAGAAACTTTCAAATTATGTTTAGCTCTTCTAAGTGAACTTACCGTAAATCTAAAATCGGGCATTAATTGCATTCTCCTTTGCGATGAACTGATGAGCATTAAACGTTTTCTCTCTGAAATGGTCAAGCATAAAATTACTCCTATTATTGTTTTAAATTTTATAAAACAGCATAAAATGCAAGATTTGTATCCAAACACATGGATTGCAATGCGAATTTTGCTAACAATACCTGTCACTGTAGCGAGTGGAGAAAGAAGTTTTTCCAATATGAAACTTATAAAAACCTATCTGCGGTTAACAATATCGCAGGGGATAGACTTTTAAGTTTAGAAATCCTATCGATTGAAAACGATATTGCTGAAAATCTTGATTTTTCTACGCTAGTCAAAGATTTTGGTGATAATAATTGTCAGGGGCGGCAGGAAAAATTCCGTACGAGGGCGGCAAGAAGACTAAGCCGGCACTGCATACATGCATACATACATACATACATGCATACATACATACATACATACATACATACATACATACATACATACATACATACATACATACATACATACATACATACATACATACATACATACATACATACATACATACATACATACATACATACATACATACATACATACATACATACATACATACATACATACATACATACAAAACAACAATATATTTACCAGTAAAATATATTTCTATATGTTCTATAAAAGAGTAAACTTTAAGGTTCACTGAAAGGTTGAAACGTCTTTCAACATTTATTAATAAAGGTCGAAAAGTTCACTCTTTTAAAGCCTCACTAAAAAATGGTAAAATTTATATTGAGTTATATCCTTCAAAATTGTCATTAAGTAAAAAAAGCTTCCCACTATAGAATTACAAATATTAATTAATAAGAATATTGTATCCAAAAATGCTGTTTTAGATTTAATTGACTTGTCTTCCAAGTGTTAAAAAAAAGATGGCGTATAATAAAACCATAAAAATGTTATATTTGCGTCATTTCAATTAAAAACTTACCAAAGGAAACCTTATGGGTGATGTTTTTTTAGACTTACGCAAAACATTTGGCACTATTCCATACAATTCTTTATTATCTGAACTACTCAGCTAACACATGTATGTATGTATGTATGTATGTATGTATGTATGTATGTATGTATGTATGTATGTATGTATGTATGTATGTATGTATGTATGTATGTATGTATGTATGTATGTATGTATGTATGTATGTATGTATGTATGTATGTATGTATGTATGTATGATGATAGGTGTGTAGAGGTTTTTTGAAAGGCGCTTATGTGCAAAAGAAAAACAAAACAAAAATATAAACGAAACAAAGAAAATATAAAGAATGGAAGAGCTGGAAAATGGGTTTATAAATGGGTTTTAACCAAGAAAACTTTAAAGGCGTAAGATGGTTGTTTTTATTTGACAAAAAAATAAATTAAGTAATTTATTTTAAAAAAACAAAGATAGAAAGTTTTTATATTAAAAAATTTTAAAAAATAGCAAGAACAAAAAAAATGACAAAAAGCGAATCACGAGAGTTTATACGTTCTGGAAGCATATATAGACGTTACAGAAGCATATATAGACGTTACGGAAGCATATATAGACGTTACGGAAGCATATATAGACGTTACGGAAGCATATATAGACGTTACGGAAGCATATATAGACGTTACGGGTCAGATATATTACGTAAGCGATTAAGTCTTGGCAAACAATCTGAAGTTATCGTCTAGAAGTTAGATTGCAAGACTGTGTATTATGAAAAACAAGCAACTAAACAAAAGTACAAACATACCAAAAAAAATATTAAATCTGGAATAGCAGGAACACCGATTCATAAATAAAGAAGTAATTTCATATATATTAAATAAATTTATTATTAATGATGTATAAAATTATATATTATAAATATAAAAATTATACAAAAAATGTATCTTAATTATAAATATAAGAATACAAAAAAAACATAAACATAATTCAACTCACCACCACCACCACCTCCACTATACATACTACCACCACCACCATCACCACTACCACCACCACCACCACCGCCGTTGCAGTCGCCTGTCGCAGCCATACTCACCTCTATCACCTTAACCAAAAAAACCAAACCCCCTCATAAACCCCAACCCCACTACCACTTTAACCAAACCCCCTCATAACCCCCCTTCCTCTTACTGTAGCTATCAAAAGAGGGGGTTTTTTGATTCTCTTTTTTGTAACGTTTTTTCTCTTTATTATTATTAAAAAAAAAAGACCTCTACACACCTATCATCATATGTATGTATGTATGTATGTATGTATGTATGTATGTATGTATGTATGTATGTATGTATGTATGTATGTATGCATGTATGTATGTATGTATGTATGTATGTATGTATGTATGTATGTATGTATGTATGTATGTATGTATGTATGTATGTATGTATGTATGTATGTATGTATGTATGTATGTATGTATGTATGTATGTATGTATGTATGTATGTATGTATGGATGCATGTATGTATGTATGTATGTATGTATGTATGTATGTATGTATGTATGTATGTATGTATGTATGTATGTATGTATGTATGTATGTATGTATGTATATATGTATGTATGTATGTATGTATGTATGTATGTATGTATGTATGTATGTATGTATGTATGTATGTATGTATGTATGTATGTATGTATGCATGTATGTATGCATGTTATATTAAATTTTTGTAAAAGATTATTTTTGCTTTCGGAATGTGAAATTTAATAGAAATTTTAAAACACTCTTCTACTGTACTTTAACTTATGCTAAAATGTTGTATTTTAATTTATGCTAAAATGTTATATTTTCATTTATGCTAAAATGTTATATTTTATGTTATGATACTTTGAAAGACGTGAAAGTTAAGGTTGTTTTATTTTCAAGGCTGTTTTAACGATCCTTTTTGAATGTAATCAAAATTTTTCTTCTTTAAAACAATACTCTTATTAGCAAAGTAGTAATAGTGATTATATATATATGCGAGACTTATTAGATGATACGTATATGATATGATATTATATGATTTTAAAAAATGGCAAAGTTTTTAACAATCACGCAAGTAAAAAAACTATTAAAAGCTCATGAAAATACTTTATAAAAAATCTTCGGAGAGAGAATAGAGCAATTAAAATACGAAAACATATCACTAAAAAATTAAATTGCAACCATAAACTTTCAAAACGAGTATGATAAAAAAAGCAGTTGCTATAGGCTACCTGACGACCCGTGCGAAAACTTTAGGTCTTATTTACAAAATATTATAGTTCACGCTGGTAACAACAACAAAAAAAAACTTTATAATTGGAGATTTTAATATGAACTGTTTTATTCATAACGATGACAGTAAAGTGAGAAATTTCTATTATGAAATTTTTATAGCTGGTGTAATTTCCCTAATCATTTATCCAACTAGAGTAAAAGTAAAATTTTGCCACCCTCAGTGACAATATTTTTACCACAGACTTTTTAATAACTTCATCCAAAAAGTGATGACGACTTCTCTATTTTCCTAACCCTTAAACAACATTGTCAAATAAAAATAAACAAAATAGAACAGTAAAAAAAAATTACTTGCTACGAAAAAAAAAATAGATGAACTTAAACATCAACTACTATTACTGCATTGGGAGTACATTAAATTTAATGACGATGCAAACATAACATTTATGACAAAATCTTCAAAATATTCTACTTAGTGTATGTGAAAAACTTAGACATAAAACTTTAAATAGTCCTTGGATAACAAAAGGCTTAAAAAAACTTTTGAAAATAAAGCGAAAGTAGTATATAAAATATTTAAAGACCAAATCTTTTGCAAATAAAAAAAAATAAAAGTTATAAAAGTTTATTAGAAAAAATTTGTAAAAATCTAAAAAAAAATTATTATACTAATCTGATCAATAAGTTAGAAAATAACTCAACGCCCACCAGGCAAATAATAAAATAAATAACCGGAAAATCAAAAAAATCACTTAAGTTCTCTGTCATAACAGCAACCATGAAACTTGAATATGTGAATCGATATGTGAATTATGCACATTATTATTTTTAAATAATAATGTCGCATAATTGCAAACATACCGTAAAACGGGGTGAACGTTTGAACGTTTTTGAGATATTTTTACTTGGTCTTCCTTCACTATTGACAATATTTGAAATTTAACAAAATGAATATAGGGGCTAAGATTGACTCGTACATAATTCAAATTCAAAATAATATTTAAATAAATAGTTTTTGTATAATATTAATTTAAATAATCATTTAAAGTTATCCCACAAATGGGGTAACTTTGAATGCATTTTTTGTAAAAGCAAAACCTATTCAAAAACGCCTTATTTTGTTTTAAAATTTAATAAAAACAACAGTCTAGTTTCACAGTCATTTATTATTGCTAAAATTATATAATATTATTTCACAACAAACACCCATTTAGTATTTTATTTTGTTTAAATGGGTATTTTTTAAGTGGACTAACATAAAAAAGTCTCATTTAGATCAGTTTCATTTACAGACTGTGCAAGTGGAACATCTTTTACAGACTGTTAAAGAAACATCTGAATATTTTGCCAAAAAATCATTAAAAGTAATATTTTTAACAAGATCAAAAGTAATTTTTTTTTCCCTTTGAGTCTGCTTTTTCCCAACAACATGAAAAAAATTGTTAAAGTACATTAATTACTGCTCGGCGTACTAAAGTTACATTTATCTGGCCAACGATTGAAGATGATACTTATATC